ATATTGAACGATTAATTTGTTCTCTCGTGCTCAAAACTATTGAAATAGCTGAAAATTCTAAACTAAAAGAGACCATTTCAGTGAGATTTATAATTGTTTCAGTTTCAATATTTCTTTCAATATTTTTTTTACACAGTGAAATTAATTAAGATAGAATTTCTATAGTCAATCATCCATCATAGAAATATATCGGGTGTCCAGAAAGTAACTAAACAAAGAAAAGTTTGAACATCTTCACTACGACTCGACCAAATGGGCTCATTTTTTTGCCAAAAATAGAGGCATGTTCACATTCCAAATCCATATGAACAAGGTTAGTGAGAATCTTTGTTAAATATCACTATTGACCTCAATGAGAAAATTTCACTTTTTCACAGATCAGAAAAAAAACAATATACTTCACAAAGCTTCTCGCGACCCTTGTACGTATGGATTTGGAGTGTGAACATGACTCTATCCTTGGCAAAAAAAAATGAGCTCGTTTGGTCGAGCCGTAATGGAGATATTCAAACTTTTCTTTGTTTAGCTACTTTCTAGACACCCGATATACTCCATGATTTTTTTGAAAAAACATTATTTATAAATATATTCGATGACAACGTAAAAATCTATTGAAGTTATACACAGGGTGGCCCATAAGTAAGGTAACAGAGTATTTTTTTTCCGATGTCTTTCTTATACATCTTCAGTTGGAGCTCATATTTATACCACATATACTAGATGATATAAGTCAAAGATGCAGTATATGAACAATATTTATGTCTAGTAATTTGTTTGAAAGCGTACAGATACAGGACCAAAAATAAGGAAACATATCTGAACTCTAACAAAGCTTTTAGTAAGGCAGCATAATAATCGAATGGCACGCACAAAAGTAAATCTTTGTGCAGTATTTTTATTACGAAGCTTTTCATTAAGAATGACCAATGCGTTCACTGTCTAAGTCTTTGCAAAATTGTAGTATATCGTAGTAGCAAAAACTATAACTGTCCAACATGTTTTCTTATTATTGGCTATCCTGTATTTGTAAGTTTCCGAACAAATTACTAGACCTAGATATTGTTCATATACTGCATCTTTGACTTGTATCATCTAGTATATGTAGTATAAAAATGAGCTCTAGCGGATGATGTATAAGAAAGAAATCGGAAAAATACTGTGTTACATTACTTATGGGCTACCCTATATATTTCACAATGATGCGTATCTTTATGAAAGATTTAAACACCATGTTTAGTTCATCTGATCTACACAAGTTTCGAAAACTTAAATGTCGATGTTCGCATTTTCTCTTCTATAAGAATAGCCGATAGGTCTTGAGGGATCGAACATCCGTATCGGCCCCACGGAGTGCTAGTTTCCGAAGCGTCGAATACTCGACGATAGGTAAAGAATTTTCAATTTGATCCACCTTCCGGCAAGTGCAAATCGATACCTCGGAACATCCATCGAATGGCAGCTTGAGCAAGAAGAACATATAAGATTTTTGATAAAAATCTTATATGTTCTTCGTAGGAATCTTATATTCACTAATCTCTTGTTTAACATTTACTGTTTCTCAACCCCATTAGAAATGTTTTAATACGAATATTTATTAGAAAATGAAAATAATTAAAGTAAAAAAACTATTAGCTATATTTCTTTTTATTTTCTCGTCTAAAATAATTCAAACTAATTTTGCTTCTCTTGTTTTTTTAATAATCTCTGCTTTTGAATAACAAATTTTTCGTTGTAAAAATATAATATCGGTAATCATCAAAGGAACGTTTGATCTAATATTTTTTATTATAATGTGTTTTTCGTTCTGTATATTTTCGTCTCCTAACAATCTTCTTGTTTTTCTTCGTTTTAATAAAAAATATCTGAATGCATTTTATGTGATCTATAAACCAAAATAGAATCAAAAAGTTACAAATATGAGGAACTACCATGCATGACCTCAACACATGTTACTCTTAATCGATTCTGATCGTTTAATTCAATTCGCTTTCTCGACGATATTTAATAAATATAAATTGATTCGATCTCTTCAATACTTTTCAAAATTGAATTCTTTCTAATAGAAAATTTCCTTTAGTTACATAGTTATTGTTTTTATATACCGGGTGGCCCATAAGTAAGGAAACGAAACAAAAAAAATTGAATATCTCTATTACGACTTGACCAAAGAAGCTCATTTTTATACCAAGGCTAGAGACCTATTCACACTCCAAATCCATACGAACAAGGTTAATGAGAACCTTTGTTAAGTATCATTAGTGACCTCAATAAAAAATTTCACCTTTTCACAAATAAGAAAAATTCAATGTATAGGGTACCTCAAAAGTCAGTTTTCTGGAAAGAAAACTGAATATCTCGATTATGGTTCAGGCGAACGAGTTGATATTTTGACTAAAAATAGAGACATGTTCATACTCTAAATTTATCCGGACAAGGTTAATGTGAACCTTTGTTAAGTATATTTCTTTCTTTTCTAATCTGTGAAAAAGTAAAATTTTTTGTTCAGGTCAATAGTGATACTTACAAAGGTTCTCATTAACCTTGTTCGTATGGATTTGGAGTGTAAATAGGTCTCTAGCCTTGGTATAAAAATGAGCTTCTTTGGTCAAGTCGTAATAGAGATATTCAATTTTTTTGTTTCGTTTCCTTACTTATGGGCCACCCGGTAGATAGTAGAATAGTACATGGACATTTAATCAACACAGAAATTATTTTTAGAAAACAAAGAAAAAGGAGAAGTTCATTATGAACCTGCCAAATATAGTTTTTCCGCTGAGATAAATTCAGTGTGACATTTTTATTTATACCGTTGTCATCGAGTGTTATTCACCGTTTATCACAGATATATGTGGGGAGATACTTCTTTCATTCTCTATTGCTAACAGGCTCAACATTCTTCTTTTTTTCTCTTTCATTACATCTGGCATCTCTTTCTCTCTTTTTCTTTGATTGTTTTTTTGATAGTCCGCATTTCTCACTTTCTCGTCTCCCTGTATTCTACACGCTATCTCTCTCGATCTATCAGCATCGATATAAAGAAGTTAGAAAATGATAATAAACAGAACTGAGATCATCGCATAAGAATTGATGGAGAGGTTGGGTAAAACGATGTCGGAATTGGAGCATGTTAACCTCTTCATGACTTGTTATGTGATGATTTCGGCTCCGTTTATTATTATTATTCTTAAATCGCTTTTTATCGATGCTGATAGGCCGAGAGAGAGAGAGAGAGAAAGAGAATAACGTTACATCAGTGATGGCACATAGAGTAATTAGTTATTTTTTTATGGTGTTAATCAATTTTCATAGTAGTTTTGTACATTCTGTCAGATGATTCATTGCCATTGAGTAGATCTAACCTTGTACTATAATTTTGGTTCCAAGATCTTTTCTTGATAATGCTCATGAAAAATGTTATAAAAGATACAAAAGTTATTTATTAGTAATAACTTTTGTAATATTTGTAACTACATTCATGAACAATATCGAGGAAATGTCTTGGAAGCAAAGCTGTAGCACAAGTTGTGATTTACACAATGGCAATGAAACATTTGACGGAATTTACTCCCTTCCTATCCAGGATAGAAGATCAGCCCCTGTATAAGATCATGTCTGGGAAAAATTCAAACGCCCTATTGGAAGGTCATGCGCTTATCAATTAATATCCTTCAAAAATTTTGAATTTTAGGAAAATTTTAATTAATAAATTTAAAAACATATCTGATTTTCTAGCATTTTTTCATGTAATCTCCTTCTGTGTTGTCATTATAAATGTATATCTTACAAAATAGTATATTTTTCAGCTAAAAATATCTTACAAACGGTAATTAGAAATATTTATTAATTAATAGAATATTCAAAATATTTCTATTAATAACTAGCCAAAAATTGACCTTCGAATAGAAGGCTATTAAAAAATAAATGTGGAAACCTCGGATTTAAATTCGAGAGTTATGTGTACTTCAAAAAGTGAGTGAGACAGATGAGTCATCCTAGAATGCGTCAACGTAAAAATTATCCTGACAAACCTTTTCTATAAAACACTTGATTTCTATTGACTACTGCTCAACCAATCAGATTTAGAGACGAATATAGCTCAGATTTCATCCCTTCGCCTTGATTTACCTTACGAAAGGCGTTTTTCCTATAACTTCATTCCCATTGGCTACTGCTTGACCAATAGGATTTCGAGGCAAATGAAGCTCGGATTCGAGTTCTCTGACTCAGAAAACCTCGAAGTATCATCTCTGTGATTGAAAGACAGAGCTCTAATTGTGGATCGATTGGAGCGTCGACAAAAACAGAGCCAAGTCCCGTTTAATTGTCTTTGCAATAGATGAGTTAGCATTCTTGTTGCTTTATGTTTTATATACCATTTTGTAGCTCATGAAATTCTCTATCGAATGGTATATAATACTTGGAGTTTTATTTGATTATGATAGTAAAATTTTTTTTACGAAAGTGAGGATAGGTCGATTTTCCTATAAAAAGTCATAGGGAAAAATGACTATTTTTGCAATAACTCAGGAATGGCTCGGCCAATCATGCTCATCTTCGAACTGGACGGAGATATTGTTAAGACTGAACTGTGTAGAAAATTTCATCGCAATCGGACTCTCCTTTCAAAAGTTATCGTGTAAACGGATGGACGGTCGGCCGGCCGGACACACTGACCGATTCTAGAGTGTACTCACTTTTTGAGTACACACTTAGCGGTATACCGAGACACGATATAAGGGCATGCTCTTTCATTCTGGAGTGTGGTTACAAAGCTACTGTAAAAAATCACTTAACATCAAAAAATAACTAGTTACTCTATATGCTACCCCCCACACTACATGACACCGTCGATGTGTTTCAATTAATGAAGTATTTCACCTACTTTTAACCTCAATTTCAATTCTACCTTAAAATCATTTGTTTTATCATATTTACTGATTACCGTTTCTCTACAATTCTTATCGATTATTTCAAAATCATTTCGAGTGTAAACAATTATCATGTCATTGTTAGACATAGCTCAACAAATTACGATTTATGGTGGTTTCTTTCTTCTTATTACTGGTGTAATTGGAAATGGAATAAATGTTTTGGTATTTGCAAGTGTTCGTTCATATCGCACAACACCTTGTACATTTTATTATCTTATTGGCTCATTTGACAATATTTTTTATTTAATAATTAATTGTATTCCTCGTATTATCATTGAAGGTTATGGAATTGATTTAACCAATACATCAATAAGTTGGTGTAAAATACGACAATTTTGTCTTGCAACTTTCGCTGTAATAGCATCAAGTTGTTCATGTTTAGCTACAATTGATCAATTTTTTGTCACGTCACGGAATGCTAATCTTCGCCGTTTGAGCAATATAAAATGGGCACATCGAATTACGTTGATTATGATTATTGCCTGGTGTCTTCATTCAATTACTGTTTTTATATTCTTCAATATTTCATCTATCACCAACACCTGTGTGATCACTAACGCTGGCTTTTATATCTACGCTCCGATATATCTTCTTGTTATTAACTGTGCAATTCCAGTCATAATAATGGTGATATTTGGATATCTAGCTTATCGTAATATTCATTCGACAAGAGCTCTTGCTGAACAACAAGCTGATCGTCAATTGACACAAATGATTTTGTATCAAGTAATACTTGTTGTTATATCTATTGTACCCTATGGCATTGCTTTTGCTTACAATGTAATCACGTCCAGAATTAGTAAAGATGCAAATCGATTAATCATTGAAGATTTTGTCCTAGCATTTAGTATTTTGCTATGGTATCTTCACTATAGCGTATGTTGATTTATTTTTTGTCCGATAATTGAACAAATATTTTTGTGAAATTATTTTTTTATTATTCTAGGGAAATTTCTACATGTTTTGGATTTCATCAAGTCGTTTTCGTCGAGTAACAAAAGATCGAATATTATTTTGGCGAAGACACGATCAGATTAATCCAACTTAAGCATTCATGAGTAGAAGACAAACTTTCGAAAATCGAATAGATAATCAAGAAAAACCTGTAACTTTAAATATTCGTTGTTTGCCATATTGTATTTGTTGTAATCTAACATTAAAATAAAATTGGATGTTGTCACATGAAGGTCGAAGTTAATCAAAATGCTGATATTGTAGAACAAGTTTAACTTGATAAATAATGAATATGACCGATTATTTCTGCATTGATGAATGCTAGTCTCGAGACAATCAAATGCCTTTATGTATCAAAGAAACATATTGTACAAAGATGAGTGCGGGTATGGGTGTGGTTGTGCATGGGTGTTGGTATGAAAGTTTGATGCGAGTATGTGTGACCTTGAGTTTTCATTTCATCCATACTCATACCCCACACCGAGACTCACACCTACCCGCTCTCACATCCACACCCACACCCACAACCACACTCACGCCCACACTCCCATTACTTTATCCCATGAATATCTTCAGTTCCTGACTGCTTTTTCTCAATGTTTAATTCCTCTTCTTCTCTTTCACTGTGTTAATGCAAAAATCGAAGGATAAGGACGAAAGAAGCACAGTGAACCTTGTATTGCTTGTTTCCATAATGAAAGATTTCTCTCATTTGGTTATATGAAACTGTTAGCGCTTGCGCTCACAGGAACAACGAACGCTATGTGTTCGTGAAATGCGTGTTTTCTTTTCTCTCTCTCTCTCTCTTTATTCTTTGAGAAAACAAGTGTTCATATACGAACATGAAAACAAGGACAAAAACATAGAAGATACAAAGGTTAATCAAGGGCAAAGAAAAGAAGTAGTAGAACAAAAAGATCAAAGGAAAGAGAGTAGATAGAATCGAGTTGTATATAGTAAGAATATACCGTAACAGTAACGACAACAGAATAAGAAAAAAAGGCGAATAATCTATTGTTGAATGTACGTATAAGCAGGCTGTTCGCTAGTATGTGGAAAAATCATCCAGATTATTTTCTTCTTTCTGAGTTTGGCATTTTCACAGAATAGAAAGATAGTTCTTCTGGGTGAGGGTGTGGGTGGGTGTGAGTGTGGGTGTGATGGGTTGGTGTGGCTGTGGCTGTGAGTGTTGATCTAAATGAAGAAAAGATAAACGCATACCCACATCCCAAACCGGCTCCCACACACCCACACCTTCATTGTGAGTATTCTGGGAAAAGAAAAGTGACCATTGTGAAATGATCTAAAAGCCATACAGTTGTAGAATTTTATGAGAAATCGTAGAACCCACAACACTTATACTTTTTGGGTGTGAGTGTGGAACTAATTGCAAGTCCTCCTCCGATCACGTGTCTATAGCCACAGACGCACCTGCATTCAGACGCTCATGCCCGCATCCATAGTAAATATCATTATTTGTGAGTTAATTAATATATATATGTATATATATCCCCCGGTCAAGAAAAACCGAAAGGCTTGTTTCTTTGATTTCTCTATGATGGAACATCTTTTAGGTCCGATATTTATACCACAGATAGATCTTGTGTTACTCTATCTGCTGGCAAAATTTCAGCCATATACATCGAGCATTGGCTGAGTAAACGAAAAATCAATCTTACACACTCATATGCAGTTGCGCCAAACACTTGTAACTATGCTTATGTTTTTGATATTTCTTGTTTGATTCTGACTTGGTAAGTATTGATTAGTTATCTTCTAATCATCATTTACGAATCGTGACATCTTCGTATTACGCGTGATGCACGCGTAATAGGAAGATGTTACCATTCGTAAATGATGATTAGAAGATAACTAATCAATACTTACCAAGTCAGAATCAAACAAGAAATATCAAAAACATAAGCATAGTTACAAGTGTTTGGCGCAACTGCATATGAGTGTGTAAGATTGATTTTTCGTTTTCTCCGCCAATACTCGATGTATATGGCTGAAACTTTGCCAGCAGATAGAGTAACGCAAGGTCTATCTGTGGTATAAATATGGGACCTAAAAGATGTTCCATCATAGAGAAATCAAAGAAACAAGCCTTTCGGTTTTTCATACCTGGGGGATATATATATATGTAATAGCTTGTAAGATTTGTTAAAGATATTATAGATATGTAGAAAAGACTTAATTGTCAATAGAATCGATGATTATAACAATAAGGCTGTTAAACTAAAAAAAAGCAAATTAAAAGAATGAATACTAATGAACAAATAGTAACAAAGCAGACAAAAACTAGGATGTGCATAGACAAAATAAAAAAGTTCTGTTCGAAATTCAGGAATTGGAGAGTTCCTCTGTCTGATGATTGACTGTCATACAAAACAACTATAGTCTACCAGAGGTTTTTCACTGTACGTATTCTCTTTTAATTTCAAGAGGCTGGAGCGCACATATGAATTCTGTTTTCCATCTCCAATGACTGCGCTCAAAAGCTTTTTCGAATCTATTATAATTTCTACGCAGCCATAACTGTATCATAAGTAGGCGAGTAACTCGCTAACTTGTGTATTACCTCGTACTCACCTCGTCCAGAGATGAGGGGAGGTGGTGTAACTTGGCAAGTTGTCCATCACCGTTAGCAACACAGCACATGGACAAACTATGTTTCCCGGTAGTTATTTAAACAGAAATCATTTAAAAAATCCCTGTAGGATATGATGATATCACCTCAAAGTAAAGAAAAGCAGATACTACATATTCTAGAGCAATTTGCGGCTCAAATAAGTATTGTTGAAAAGATGTATATTCTTAAATGATAAGAAGATCCTCGCACTGACACTCAAAATATGTAACATCTGCTCTACGTGTTCCATTGTGTACGAAAAAAATTGGAAGTGAACTTATTTATGAGAATTTGAAATCTCATTCTTACTTCATTAGTATTCAGCAGCCTGATAATCAGAGTTTCGCATTATATTGATGTGACAAGCATTTTATTGAAAGATAAAGTAGACAATCTCAAATTAGTGCTTATTTTAAAATCTACTCGTTAAAGTTTTCATTATTTCAAACCGCGAAAATTTAAAAGTTTCTGTTACCCAGGAAAGCTCATAGAAATTATGATCAAGTGAATCATAATCAAGTGCTGGTTCACAACACTATTCAACAAGATGCTAGTAACTTTGAAAAATTCTACCGTTTATATTAAGGTTAT